CTTGTGTGAGACATCAATGATATATATAGTTTGATATACTTTGAATATTCTGTTGGGTCACCTTTCTTTGGAATGGGAACAGATACGAATCTCTTCCAGTTATTTGGCCAAGTAGCTGTCTTCCAGATTTCCTGGTAGAGACGAGTGAGTGGTTCCTGTGCGTCTTCAGCATGCTGAAATATTTCAGTGGGCATTCTACCAATTCCTGGGGCCTTGTTTTGGGCTAATGTACTCAGTGCACTTTGAACTGCTTCCTTCAGCACCATTCGTTCTTGCCCATAAACTACTCCTGAGATGGTGGACTGTCGCCAATGGTGCCACCTGATGAAACATTCAGATTAACTTTGGATACTATAGCACTACTAGACATACAATTTTTAGTTATTCTTTTGGACATTAGTTATATTTTTCCAGTTCTCTCTTTCTGTAAAAATGGTTTTTCAGCATTCGAAATCTGTCAAAATGAAAATAGGGATAGAAAGGCTGCTCAAAAATGATTTTTAAAAATCTACATATAACCTCCTCCCTGGGGGATGGACAGCAAAGAAGTGGGTGAAGGGAGATGTTCAGATGGTGTAAGATATGATGAAATAATAATAATTTATAAATTGTCAAGGGTTCATGGGGGGGTGGAGCGGGGAGGGAGGGGAAAGAGAGGAGCTGATACCAAGGGCTCAAGTAGAAAACAAATGTTTTGAGAATGATGAGGGCAACAAATGTACAAAAGTGCTTGATTCAATGGATGGATGTATGGATTGTGATTAGAGTTGTACAAGCCCCCAGTAAAATGATTTTTTAAAAAAAGAAAGGCTGCTCAATGGCTTTATTCTAACAAAAAATTACATTCTCAAATGGATATGAGACTTATAATCATTGGGAAAATCAAACCACCTCTTTCATCACATTAATAATCATTTTCCTGTAAAGATACACTTTTTATTTTTAAGAATTCTATATAAAAACAAACCGATCATAATTGTAATGAAAACCTATTTAAAAGAATTTTTCAATACATAGACCTACTGGTTTATGGAGAATAAACCATTTATTCTATTTCTATATTTTGTGACAAAAATATGATTGAAGAATAAATTTCTAGGATAAATTATTGCCAATTAAGTAGAATTGAGATGCATATTCAAGGAGAAAAAAAAGAATGATATGACATTTCTAGTTGCTAAAGAGCTCATACCATGTATTTTTAAAATAGTTGATTATAGGTATCAAATTGCTATTTTATTATATCAGGTACATTTAAGAAAAATCATGATAACAGTTTTCAGTTTTGAAATGTCAATGTTACCATATGCTGAAAATTACAACCTTTGGCCCTTTTTGAATTTTTTTATGTAAAATGTTATCTTATTATCTTAAAAGCATGCTCTGAGATACATAAGTGCTTTGGTTTTGTTTTTAACAGTTTTATTAGCATTTCATCCACATGCCATACAATTCAATAATTCAATTATACCCAGAAGAGTTGTACATTATCACAACATTCAGTTCTAGAACATGTTCTTCATTTACTCATTGTTATTCATGTAATATTTTTTTCTAATTGTGGCAAAAAAATACACAAAACGTTCTCCAATTCCACAACTTCTACATATTTTAATTCGGTATCACTGATCATACTCTCCGTGTTCCCTTTCCAAGTTATTTAATCACCATCAACATAAACTCAATGCCCCCTGAGCAACAATTCTTTCTCCTTCACCCATGGTAACCATTGGTCAAGTTTAGTTCCTTTTTTTAGTAGTTTTCTTGATATAGTATTCACATATCATACACTTCCATGGTTAAATCACTTTTAAAAAGAGTTGTATATATATCATCATAATCAGTTCTAGTGCTTCCTCCCCTCTCCCACAGTCATTGTTTGCTCCCCAAGCCCCCTCACCCCACCACTAACCCCCCTTCCACATCCCAAATAAACATCAATTATTATCTCTATGCATCCGCTTCTCTGTGCGTCACCAACTGGGAAACCCAATAGATACAATAAAAAAACAAAATGGCAAGAAGAAAATAAATATAAAAATACAAAGACGAAGAAAGGAAAGAGAACCATCAATATTTGACAAGCCAGAGAAGAAATTTCTGTTGTAGAACAAGGAAGAAATACTTGCTCCTAATGCAAATTCAGGTTGGGTCAAGTGTGTATATTTGCGGTAAAGAAGCATCTATACTTAATCAATACCTTTGGGATTTTGAAAGTCTAAACTTTAGAAAACCAGGGGTCTGGAATGAATAGACTGATGCAGACATGTGCACTTTAAAGAAATGGCAACTGGATGCACACATACCTATATTTTCCAAATTATATAGGTTGAATTATTTTACATAATTCAATATATGTTCTGTTAAATAAAAAACGTCCCATGATGATAGGTTGGTGAACCTCTTGAAATAGAGCCCCCTGTCTTTTTTTTAAAAGATATTTTCATATTGCTTCTTTTTAAAAATCATTTTATTACAGCTCTTATAACAATCCATACATCAATTGTGTGAAGCACATTTGTACATATATTGCCATCATGCTTTTCAAAGCATTTTCTTTGTACTTGGGCCCTTGATATCAACTTCTCATTTTTTCCCTCTCTCCCCCACCCTCCCACCCTCATGAACCCTTGATAAATTATAAATTATTATTTTCAGCCCCTTGTCTTTTCAATATGAACAATATATAAAATGAATTAGATGCTTTTAGCTAATTCTAAGTGGTCTCAATAGAATGATTGTCTTAACCATTTTACTGTGTAATGATGATTTGTAGAGTAAGAAAATGAATTTCTTATTGATATCTAGTTCGCTACAATATCTGCTTTCTTTTCCATAATGTCTAGTTTAAAGTTGGTGAAACTAAGACTTTGCACTGTTACTGTGAGATTGAAGCTAAATACATATTTGCTCTTAATTCATGGATATGTCTTCTAATAGGTCACATTGATTAAACAACATAACATCAAATTTCCTTTACAAGAACCCAATTTATTGTGCTGGGGGTAGCTATATGGTGTCCAGATAGTATTTTTCTTAATTTAGGGAGGAAAATAACATGTGTTTATTAAGTGGGACAGAACATAACCTACAAGTTGACATGTCTGTTATGTTTGAGAGTTCTTAAGGTAAAATCATATTACAGTACTACTTTGTTCATTAGTTATTTATCTTTTTTCTGACAGAAGGGACATTTTTCATTTCAATGTCACCCACTCACCTTCCACACCCTTTCTGTAACTGCACCATAGACTGTAACGCTGACGTGCACGCTGTCGCTGTAAGTCAGAACCAACTTGTAGCATCTACCAGCAAGAAGTCAGCCTCGCAGCACCCACCTTTCAGTCTGCCAGCTGTGGTCATTTGCATGTTACTATGATGCTGGAAACTTACTTTGGACGTGTCATTAGGAAAAACCAGTGGCTGAAAAGGAACATCATATTTGATAAACAGTCAGCAAAAAATGAAGGAAATCTTCCATGAGATGAGCTGGCATAGTAGCTGCAACAATGTGCCCAAACATCTCCGAGATCAGGAAGATGATGCAGGACTGAGCAGTGCCTCTTTCTGTCCCCCCAAACTTACCACCAGAAGTGGGAGGCAACTCAGTGGCACCTATCAGAGGAATTGGTCTGAAGATGTCAGAGAAGGGTTCAAGGTGGGTTCTCCAGTTAGTTGTGCAGCGCCTGAGTGAACACGATGTTCACCACTCCTGGAGGCTCTTTTAAGTGGTGTTGTCGGCACTGGAACCCGGGCCCTCCTCTCCACCTCCAAAAACCCATTGCACTGCCATCAAGTTGATTCTGACTCATAGCAATCGCATCGGAGAGAGTAGAACGGCCCTGTGGATTTCCAAGACTAACTTTTTAGGGGAGTAGATAGCTTTGTCTACTTTATCTCCCAGTGCATAACCACAGCGCCACCAGGGCTCCTAGGGAAACAGCCCTAATATGTGAAGGACACCTTCATTTATAGTACAAATTCGTAATACCTGCTAAAGGCAACAACAACACCTTTAAATAAAGCTTAATAGAAACTGTTTCAACTAGTTTTGTTGGGGTATCCGTACTGTCTAGGCTGTAGATAAAGTAATCCTTCCTACCTCTGCCCCATTAGGACCCTGGTGGAGTAGTGGTTATGTGTTGGGCTGCTAACCGCCAGCTCAGCAGTTTGCACCCACCAGCCCCTCCAGGGGAGAAAGACGAGGCTTTCTATTCCTGTAAAGAGCTACCTTCTTGGAAACTCACAGGGGCAGTTCTACCCTGTCCTGTAGAGTTGCTGTGAGTCAGCACGAACTTGATGGCAGTGCGGGTTGTTTAACTTGCCCCCAAGATCCCTGTTGCACAGTGGTTAGGTGCAGGACTGCTGACTGAAAGGCTGGTGATTCAAACCCACCAGCAGCTCCGCTGGGAAATGACCTGCTCCTATAAAGCTTACTGGGGAGAAATCCCCATGGGGCTGTCACATGGGGTTGCTATGGGAGAAAACTCAACAGCACACATCCACCACCACTGCCCCAAGGCCCCAACAGTTTCCCGGGTGAGAAGCAGCTACTTGAGAAATCTATGCCTGCAATTTTGAGAATCTTCCCTTGTGATGTTATTAATAGTCACGGGAACAATAAATAGTGACTGGTCCCTGCAGATGTCTGAAAACACGCAAGGAGAAAGCACATACATCTAGAAAACTGGTGTCACCCCTTGATCACGTTGAGTGAGACTTCCTGTGACCGACTCCTGGGTTTCTCTTCTCCTCCATCGTGCTTGCGTTGTCCCTGTTGCTCAGGTACTCGTCCTGGCTCCAAGGTGAGCTCACTGTTGGTGCAACAGCTGCCTTCAGGCTTACCTTTCCGTGTTAGTGTTTCAAAAGGGAACAAACTTCGGATGTTGAATCCACATCACATTCTTTAGAAAACTAGTGTATGGAGCGCATCTTTGAAATCACTGCCTTTCTTTCCGAAGGCCTATTTAGTATTTATCCTTACTGATGGGTAGGCACACATGCCTCCACCGCTCTGGGAGAAAATGGCCATTTTGGAGAACATGTAAGTGTTCCTAGGAACCCTGGTGGCAAAATGGGTTATGTGCTGGGCTGCTCACCACCCGGTCGGCTTTTGAATCCACCAGCTCTCCTTGGGAGAAAGATGAAGCTGTCCGTTCCTGTAAAAATGTCTGACCTCAAAAACGCAGAGGGGCAGTTGGGTTCAGTCCTGTATGGTCGCTGTGAGTTGAGATTTACTTAACCTTTTTCTCCCAAGTTTAATAATTTCATGAAACACCTTACTGTGCTTAAAAAAAAAAGCTGCTATATTTATGTTTACAGTTTTCTTATTGCAAAAAGCTTACAAAGGGAGAGGCTTGTAGGACAATACCTGGATATTGAGCTACCAGATGCAGCGCTTCCACATCCCAAAGGGCTGCCCTCCCGCATACATCGAAGTCTGTTACCAACCAGGAAGCTCATGGAGCTTCTGGGTGCAGCCTTCCCTGGGGCCTCTTTACATAATCATGATGGATGGAATCGCGTCTTCACCCCTGAAATGGAGTAACGTCACATGGTGTGTCTGCTGGTCCTGCCAGGCCTCACCCAGGAGCCACCTCATTAGCATTCACTCGGTTCCAATCAGAGGCTCACTCCATCAAAGACACTGCGATCTCTGGGGAAATGCCAAGATTTCAGAGGGTTTCTTTCGGGAACAAAGACCAGTTCTCTGTGTAAAGTAAAATCCTTAACCCCAAGCTACTTTATAGAATTATTTTGAGCATCACACGAGGAAATAAAGTACTTACATCAACCCATGTGCCCAGTAATGTTAACTTTTATTGGATCACAGAGTCATCTCTGTGGCTCAAAACCTCTCAGTGGCCCAGAAAGAATCTTCAGTTTTTAAACCTTAAACCCAAACCTTAAGACCTCCCTTGAGGTCTTCTCTGAAATAAAAAGTAAGCTATTTAAATTAGCAAGGCACATATCTGCTCTGAGCATTGTCTTCATTTAAAGGTTTATTTATATGCAATTGAATGGACAGTGGAAACTCCAGAGTAGGATGTGAAGCGTAGAAAGCAGTTAGTGTCGCAGTTCTGGAATCAGAAAAAGATAGTGAGAATGATCACACAATGTAGACAATGTAGCCACTGCCACTGAACTGCTCATGTAGAAATGGTTGAAATAATCTCCCTTTGTCTCGGGGAGGAGATGAGCCAGTTAGGGTGCGATGTAGCGACGATGAAAAATACAACTTTCCTCTAGTTCCTGAATGCTTCCTCTCCCCCTCCCCCCACCACTATCCTGATCCCAATTCTACCTATACTGGGAGAGTAGAGGGAGGGTGGGTTGGAAAGGGGTAACTGATTACAAGGATTTACATGTGACCTCCTCCCTGGGGGACGAACAACAGAAAAATAGGTGAAGGGAGACGGACCGGGTAAGATATGACAAAATAATAATTGATAAATTATCAGGGGTTCATGAGGGAGGGGGGAAACAGGGAGGGAGGGGAAAAAATGAGGACCTGATGCCAGGAGCTTAAGTGGAAAGCAAATGTTTTGAGAACGACGAGGGCAATGAATGTACAAATGTGCTTTACACAATTGATGTATGTATGGATTGTGATAAGAGTTGTATGAGCCCCTAATAAAACGATTAAATAAAAAAAATTAATTTAAAAAAAAAAAAATTAATTTAAAAAAATGTCCCTTTGTATGTAAAGCCAAACCAGCCTGTGTTAGTTTGGGTAGACTAGAAAAACAAAGCCAGGGAAACGCGTGTGTATCAGTAAGAGCTTTATAATCAAAGAATAATTGTATATTAAAAAAACATCCTGGCCCAATCCAGATCACGTCCATAAATCCATTATTAGCCCTTATGTCTGATACCAGCCTGTAAATGTCTCTTCATACTCAAACAACACATGCAATGATACTGAACGCAGGAAAATCAAAGCCAGTGAGTAGAAGGTCTTCTGGATCCAGTGGCAGTAGAAGCATCTCAACATTGGTGTGGGTCTCCACATGGCTCCTCCAGCTCCAGGGCTCAGGCTCCATCAGCATAGCTCCATGTGGCGTGTCAAAAGGAATGTGTAGCAGAGAGTCTGTGTATCCTGCCTCCAGGGAGGAAGACAGGGGTCCCAGAATCCTCAGGAGAAGGCCATCCCACACAGAGGCCTCCTTGACTATAGCCTGATTGACAGGCTAGACACCACCCCTTCACTCAAGTTGACAAGAGATTATGTAACTGCCACATAGCCCATCCCCAACTCACAGTGCCTGTAATAGAACAGAGTTGAACTACCTTATTGGGCTTCTTTATGAAAGCCGACTGCCATATCTCCGTGCTGTAGAGCTGCTGGTGGCTTTGAACCACTTGTCAGACAAATGCTTAACCACTGTATACTGCCTCCCTGCACCCCACAGTTAAACAATTCAGTGGTAGCGGACTCAAGGATTCTAAGTAGACATGTGGGAGAAAGATGAGACATTTTACTCACATAAAGAGTTACAGTTTCTGAGGTCTTAAAGCCTTGAAGATACAGAAGCGCCCATCTAGCTCAGAAGCAACAAAGCCCACATGTAAGAAGCACACCAGCTTGTGTGATCACTAGATGTTGATGAGATCAGGTATCAGGCATCAAAGAACAAAAAATCATATCATTG